ATGGTGCAGGTACCGAAATTAAAGTTACGACAGATTTCTCCTTCAGTGGCGGGTATGTTTTGAAGATGCTGCCCGGGCGACCAGCATGACTAATCAAATATTTTACAGTGTTACGTGATGTACATGCAAACAGTTTGCTCGGTCAGGAGCAGCGAGATATCGGGCAGTTGGAGGTGGTCGGACACTGACAGGAACCGTCCCACCAGGTAATAAGCGAACACAAAGTCGCTGACTAACGCGCAATGTCTCCCAGTAAAACTCAAATAACAAGTATACATAAATCATAATATTATGTGATGTATGTAATATCGGTAAATAGCGCAAGAATTGTCATGTAACTCGTCGGGCAATTGCCAGACATATTTGTCAAACACCACGATCAGCTTTCGTCTCGGCGCCTTCCTCAGTGAAGTCCCGACCGCATGGATGATGCGCAGACAGCCTATCACTTCTGTGTTGTAAGTCTACAGATATATTTGCTCAGGATGCCGTATGATTATCCGGTCATTCGCGGTGGTAATGCATTTCCATAAACTTATAACCACTCTCAGCAGGGCGCCATCCGAGGGAAACCGAGAAACGGCCAAAAAATGCGCCGATAGGCTAATCGAACCCCGGCTACGTCGTAAGATTCGCGTAGGCAGTACCACTGCACGATGGCGCAAAGTGTTGAAAGTCCTTGAAAGACTTTGTCGCTGTATATGAGCCGCTTCTCTCCTCACACCACCATGACAATTCAAAACAATGCCCAAACAAAACTGAATGTATGTATGAGTAGATTAGAGTATGTATGAGTAGAATTCGTTATCACAGGTCAAAGGAAAAAGTAAGCCTTGGGGTGAGAGTTTTCGAATATGATCTGCTTCGATACAGTAACTCCGGTTCGCGAAGTGGCTTCGCGAATCACGTCTAGGCATACATGCCCTTGTAAAGGATACCTCATGTAAAATATCTGGGAAAAAAACTGCTGGCTGCATTAGTGTTGACTGAAGTTGTGGGCTCTGCTGCATTTATGTCTGGCGAGAGGTCAGCCCCTCGGACCTCGGACAGTTTTACCGCATACGCAGACAGCACCGCGCGTTAGTAAGAAAAATAGCGGCTCATGCACAGCAACTAAGTCTGAAGGATTTTCAACACTTTGTGCCGTGGCGCAGTGGTACTGCCTACGCGGATCGTACGATGTAGCCGGAGTTCGAGTGCCCCATCAGTGCATTTTTCGGCGTTTCTCGGTTTCCTTCGGATGGCGCCCTCCTTAGTCCTTAGACGTTCGTGCTCATTTTGGCAGGCGTTGATTTTTGTAACTCGGGCTTCGTTGATTTGGTACTTTAAGAAATCTTTTTAATTCAAAACAAGGTGCTCGTACCGTTTGTGTAAACCGGAGCTAACGAAGATATTTGCAGCTGTGAAAATAAAGCCAATTTCAGGAATAACATTTTACGGGCCAGTTTTTTCTTATCGATTTCGCTGTCTACCGGTAGAAGGTAATAGCGTTTTAGGACTTTAGATCAAACCTATTAGTCATGCGATTCCTGTCTACACAGTAACAATCGTTCAGAGAGATTACAAAAATCTTTTGGCAACGGTCGACTCTCTTACTAACCTGTTAGGCATTTCATCAACATCGATGGTTTTGAGGGCGGGATTATGAAATGCGGAACTTTTCTCGCTGCAGGATTCGAAGAAGACACGTAGGTATGCAAGCTATTTTGTCGGGTCACAATTGAACATCCGGAAGGGGTCAGCGGCAAGAAAAGTGCCGGCTAAAGAGATCCACGAGCGGTTAACTGGGCGTATACAGGCAATAATATACAGCCATCTGTTCAGTTTGACTACTAATCATTGATTACACAATGCTCATCGTTGATAGAAGTATAGCAGTCAATATTCGGGTCGTCAGTTGTCTCTTGCGCACTTCATAAATTTAAAGTTAATGTGTGATATCCCATATTTTGTTCAATGAACCATTCGCTTGCTGCAGAAGTACTCAGCATTTCCTCGATCTGGCAGCACAATGCGCACAACAACGTTACACTTTATGCGTTCGAGGCGCTGTGAATTGAACTATCTGAACACGGTGCTGGTGCAGCGCGATGACGGTCAATGGTGGCTGGGATTTGTGCAGGACGTGGACGGTGACCAGATCTTCGTGGACTTCGATGCCGCCACCATTGCCGCCCAATGGATCCACTCCCGGCATCTCTGGCCACACCGTTGTCTGGTCAGCGTTCGTCAGTATTGTGGCTCCACCCTGCAGGTAGCGTTGCGGGACGTCGAAGGCGGTCCGCTGGTGTTCCGCCCGGGAACGGTTATCGAGCAGATCTGTGGGTTCTTAGATGTGCGCGTGGATGCATCCAGACCATGTTTCGTCCACTGGTCGCAGTGCACCGAACAACTGCCGGTAATCCAAGCAGAGTCCAGCTTTTTCGGGAAGCCCGGCGGACTGTTGTACCAGAAGCACGTTATCGATTTCGATCACGCGCGTTTGCTGCGTCAGCTGGATTTCCTCCCGAAGCATTTGTTGCGCAGGTGCCGCTTAGCGATGAGCGGTTCGGATCGTGTGTGCGATGTTAGTTGTCAATTCATACGGCGCTTATTATGCGGTATCACATGGTTCCGCTGTGCTGGAACGCACCGGAAGACGTATCAGATGAATGTCGACTGCCGAGTGTTTGCACGTATGGGGACAGACACGGTGACCTTCGTCTGCGCCGAACTGCACGGCGACCCGGCCGGGCGCAGTATGTTCTGGAGTGCGGATGCCCTGCGCGAGGCGTGTCAACAGTGCCTCGTTGAGCAACAAGTGCAGTATGCCGGCATAATTATGATTCCCATGAACTGTAGCATCGGGATTCTCCAGCATGGTTCGTGAATGAATGCCCAGAAAAATTGTCCTTAATTGTAACTTTTCGGGTCGCGAAGTGTGAAGACAACTGTCCTCGCAACAGTTATTTTTATTTTACTTGGTTTATGGAAATCTTCTAGAACCGAATCCAAAACAGTTAAATAGTTAAATTCATACCGGAAGCGTTAGCACATAACATACGTACGTACTACGTAGCAACACATGTAATAGCAGCAGATGTGTTTATCTGCAGATATGGAACAGACGAACATCATGGATCTTCCTCATCCGATTTTGGCGGCGATTTTATGCAGTCTGGATATGTTCACTCGCTACCTATGGATGCGCCGGTTAGACGATATTTCATTTACTCTTAAGTTCTCCTCCTATTTCGTGATCCTCCCCGAATTCGTGCCGTTTAAAAACGTTTACAGCCACAACGATATTTTCAAAATTTACAGTAGAGTAATTACGGGTGATGGACTTTGTTTTGCAGGGTGTGTGCGCTGTGGATGATCTTACTGCAGGAGCATGCTGCGGACCGGCATATTGCTTTCGACATGGATCCGCTGCGCTTCAAACAACCTTATGAGAGAGAATTCTATGACCGTTACGGGAGCAAACTGGTTGCACTACTCAACAGCTTTCTTTCGCGGCACATTCGCAGCATGAGTTTTACGCACGACGGCCGGCGGAGTCGTCAGTGTTTGAACTTTCAGCAGACCGTATGGATAAGCGTTCGTATGCTGCAAATGAGCGTCCTTCGCCTGCCGCTGATTATTGTAAAGAACGACGAAGACATGGAAGGTATGGCATACCCTTCTGCAGCATCAAATGGGATCCTGAGAGCGGAGACTTCGAATGCCGGCAGCTGGCAAAGCTGATGTCCGTGTGCGAGCAACTATTCCTCATCAACTACGCTGTGGACGTTGCATCAAGCAGTTATGATCTGCTGCGAATACTGTTCTCTAAGGGCGATTTGACGTGGTTGAATGACGGGCTCGCGATCATGCGTGGTGCGAACATCACTGCAGCGAGCCTACGCGTGTACATCCCGCTCTTGCGCTTTTGCTGCACGGAGATGCCAGCCGCCCAGTGTCGCCGCTTCATCGCTGCCGTCAACGATCAGTGTCCGGCCGTTGGTCCGGATGTCTACCGAAAGGTCACGCGGGTGCATCACCGCTGGGTGCAGACGCTGGCCTATCCTCACCAGTGGACCGGCATCCGCATGTTCCTTGACTTGTAAATATCGTGGATAAGATTAAATCTTTGCTATACTAAAATGCGACGGTGTCTTGTTATCAGGTTCAGTAGTGGTCGCCCTGACGGCCAGCCAGAGCGCGGGTATGAAGTGGACCTGCGGCAACTGGACATCTCGCTGCTACGTCCACTGGCTCTTCATATGCTGGACCGATGCTTTGCCGATTGAGGCTCTTGCTAAGAATGCAGTGAACTGGGTGAAATCGTAAGAACTCTTAAAACGGCTGCCTGGACTGCATTCTGCTTCCCTTGAAAATACAACCTAAGAAAACCTAAGAACCTAAGAAATCTAGAAAACACAAGAGACCTAAGAAAGTGTGGTTGCGCTGGCGACAGGCTATATCATGGAACATTTCACTTGGAAATCCACCATAATTCCAACGGTACTGTGTCTTGTTCTCACATGGGTATTGTGCGTTGTCCGCGGCTGACATATCCGTCCCAAAATCAACTAACATTTCCGCTACTCACCGCTTGTTGTTCAAAATTGCCCAATGTACGTGAACGTTTGTATAATTTGTTTACCGTTTGCTACAAGCCAAATAATAAAGATTTTCCAGGGTTGTTTTCGCCTAGGGCGTTTCGCATTTTCTTTTATGTACACCGGCGCTGCTGCCGAACATTACACATGGAGAAAAACAAAAGGTATAGCGCTGTTATCGATTGCTGTCATTTTGCATCACTCGCTCGCAGAAAATTTGGCTCATGGTGCGGCGCGTCTGCGGAAACCATCGGCAAAGAGCAATATATTAAGCACTTGGAACGGGTAAAAGCCGCTCAGCTTGGGTTTTTGTCAGCGTTTTAGAGATCAAACATAAGTGCGGCGTAGCAACGCCAGCTGTACTATGCCCAGGCGCTGTACTAGTGTCAATCAGTGTGTGGTACGAGGTCGTGATAATGTGTTGGAAACGGCTCTTTCGTTTGTAAACTGGAAGCGGGTTTCTATTTCGTGTTGTCTATGCAGGCGTAGGCATCTCTTGATCTACAAAATGAAGTCGGTTAATCTCATTGTGAGGGAAAAGATCATGGTTACATTTCAGAGCTACCATTGTAGACCACTTGCTTTTTAAATTCTAAAGAAACCTAAGAAATTAAATGACTACACACTATGCCTACACTGACATTGTCTGCGGGCTGCCTTACACTGGCTTACAGGATGATGATACCAGGGTATACAAGCAGAGCATCCAGCTGGATACAGGGAGGGCTATGCTACAGACCATTTGTGCAGTACTCTTTCAGCGCGCGAGGGTGACGACGTGAAGGTGCTGCTGTATCATCATTCTCATCGCCTTTGGAAATGGTATCCCGGCAAAGTCCTCGTGTGCCAGCTTCCGAACCTGGGGAGACACGCGGTGGTAGAGGCAATGGTGGATGGACAGCGTTTCCGGGAAGTGCTTCCCGCTAAACAGATTCGTCTTCTGTCCTTGGAGATGGACGCAGAGCGAGAGTGTCTTCAGCCGGACCAATTTGTCATTGGGACATTTAAGGTGCCTAACGGCTACTGGTCCTTGAAGCGGTCGTTATCAGCGTTGATACTTCGACAAATCGAAGAAAAGTTCCAGCTGCGGTTCATCAGCGTTCTCAGTCAGAACATACAGTTCCTTTGGCGATCCGAAGAGCATTCCTTGGCTGATATAGTAAGTGTTCTTTTCATAGTTATCTTCTGTTGCATAGCTTAAGTACGACTAGCAGTGGAATTAAATGGTGTACGATGACAGATTTAGCATCTTCGGTAGCGCATTTACATTTGTGAGACTCTTTGAACACTGGGCAAACACACGTTTGACTAAACCGTCAACCGTGGATGAGTGCGCTGACTGGCATCGGGCAATTATTATGTTAACTGGCAAAACCTTGTACGGGTGCCTGTTAAGCCAGTCATATGTCCACCAAGTGTTCAAGGAGTCTCGCACATGTGAGTGCGCTACCGAGATGCTAGCTCTGTTATCGTACCGTTGGTCGGATCGTTATGGTTTTCATTTTTTTTCAAAACAGGAGAGAGTCGTTGGGATAGAATTCAGGAATTCAAAGAATTACCGAAAAGCTCTGTATGAAACTAACGAAGACTTGGAAGCAGCGGAAACGGAGCTAAAGCGAAAGAAGCAGCTCAGTACTGGTCCAGCCGGTTTAGCGCTACCATTAGAACTGCTGAAGGAGGTCTTCCAGTCACTGGACAATATCCACCGACAGCGCTGCCGACGCACGTGTCAACAATGGGAAGCCATTATTGCTTCGCCGGAAGTGTGCAGAAATGTTGTGGTAGCGCGCTATGAGGCCATTTCGTCGCTACGCTGGGAGTGGAATGAAGATTACGCACTGTACAATTGTGTCTTCAAGCACATCGTTCCTGGTACGCGCACCGTCTGCATCCGGGATACCTTAGTGGGCGAGGACCACTATGGGTTTCTCGAAGGCAAGAGCCGGGCCAGAGGATACATGGACGTTATTAAGAATGCCCTGGACAATGCCGGCATCCACGTTGAGCGTCTGGTAGTACACCAGCAGTGTCTATCAATCGGAAATCCTTATAATAAACTGAACTTGAGGGCAGTTTTTGCCGTAATGGCCGAGCAAAATTTACGGCTAGCATCGTGTTGCGATCGCATGATTTTAAAGGACTATGAGCTGACCATCGTCAACTTGATCGCCAGGCCCTTCATTAGATTCCGCATTCCATTGATTGAGGTCATAAGTCTAAGTAAAACGTCTGAGACGGAAATCTGGAATGTGTTCGAGAACTATTTGCATTCGACTACCCCGGCATTGAATATGAAGCACATTACCCAGTTCACAGCGACATTGGCCGAGTGCCCGCGGCAGGCGCAAAGAGTGATCAAGGTATTATCGTATTACTCATAGTTTAAAGGCAGTATTCTTGGCATAAATTCACTTGCGTACTGACATTTCAGTGTGTTTAAGCAGCCGGTTCGCGCTGGTACCTTAAGGGCGCTCGTGCAGACTATAGAGTATCAGCTGTCGTACTGCTTCTTGCAATGCTGGATATTATGCAAGGCATTAAGGGCTGCTTATCCGTAGATTTTGGGGAATTATCAGTCCTGCGATCCGCGTCCATCTGCGCATTACCGCGAACACGAGTGGACGCTGTCTAATGTGGCTGGTGTTGACGTTGAAAAGCTTAACCGATTGAGCCTGCATGTTCTGTCGCGCCACATAAAGCGCGGATCTTTTGAAATCTGGGATGAAATGGAGAGGATGTTCTCCCATCTCCTGGGATGAACCTGAAGCAGTCCGCAGTAGCTCCAAGTCGGAGGAGTAGAGGTGGCATTCTACTGCTCATTTCATGTTCCGATTGATGATTAGAAAAGCACAGATGTATTAACAAAAAGCAGCAAGCGGAATTCGGTTCTTTATGCCAAGCCGTTAACAGGTTTCTCCTCTTCTTAAATTTCCTCGGTATAAGTTTCCTCCTTTTCTTAAGTTTCCATGCAGTACAGATAAGTTTCCAATTTATTGTTTGTGCTGATTTCGTAAATCGAAGCTTTGTAAATCATAAACTACATGATTTTGTTGTTGTGTTTGTACACTTTTTTACATGAACCTCTGGTTGTACTCCTTGCCGTATTTATTGCCTGTTTAGTACGCGTTTTCTTCTGTTGTATTACATAATATGCTAGAACATCTCCGGTCTGTTGATCTCTGTAATACATAGTTTGTATAAAAAGTGCAAAGGTCAAATCTGTAAACAGTGCCGACCAACGTCGATCTGCGGCGCGGGCGGGGCCCGCGCTGAAGCGCTGAGTCTGAGTCTGAGTCTGACCCCTAAAAGGCTGAGTCTGACTACTGAAAGGCTGAGTCTGAGAACTAAAGGGCTGAGTCTGACTATTAAAATGCTGAGTGTTCCTAGACTAGCTAAAGTAATATCTCAATAACGTTTATCTCTTGACCGGAAATATGCGCCATATGGTCCAGCGAATCTCCGTATTACATGCAATTCACGATCAAGTAATGTACAAGTACAACTGCAACATTTTAATTGGCAACAACCCATTCAGAATCAAATTAATATGGGACGTGCACCGTACGCTTTTACGAGTATAACTTGCAGCAGCACGAATGTTGAAAAGAACCAAAGAATTAACCATAATTATAGCCCTATTAAACATTTCCGGCCAAAATAAAATTAAATTTATTTTTTTTACAACTATGTAATTACTGTACCATGTGTACTTACTAAATAATAAGCCGGTAATGTGCGCATGTAACCAGATCTATCTACGTATAATAATACGTTAATATGCGTACTGACTGTGAACCTGTGCAACAAAGCTCAATAAATCGAATAAAACACAAGCATTACAGCAATAGAGTAATAGAGAATCCAGCAGGTCAGCATTAACTGAAAGTAAAAAGCACCTGTCGGCTTCTAACTAAAATAATAATATCAGGTATTTGTACGTTGATGCTCATTTCATGCAGTTTTAAAATAACTTAGGTAAATACAGCCCTAATTACAGCTAATGTAAATGAAGCATAAAACCCATACAGCGTTAATAGCAGCAGCATTATCACCCTACGTATAATAATTATACTACAGTAGCATATGCTCCCGAAGTAGTAGTAGTATTACAATTTCGATAATACACGACATAAGCATACAAACCACCGATTTCCGTTCGTAGCTGATTAGCTGGAAGTTAATCCGAAATAATTAAGTAAAGACTGCAATGAGCAGTCTAAATTTTTCTAAATATTTCTAAATATTTCTAAATATTTCTAAATATTTCTAAATATTTCTAAATATTTCTAAATATTTCTAAATATTTCTAAATATTTCTAAATATTTCTAAATATTTCTAAATATTTCTAAATATTTCTAAATATTTCTAAATATTTCTAAATATTTCTAAATATTTCTAAATATTTCTAAATATTTCTAAATATTTCTAAATATTTCTAAATATTTCTAAATATTTCTAAATATTTCTAAATATTTCTAAATATTTGCCCGTGCAGCTTTGTCTGCCGACAGACCATTGCGCAACCCGACCAGTGGGCAATATTTGTTCCGCCACTGTTTAATATTAATCACTTTGCCGGATCACAACCAAGGTAAAAACTATTTTGTAAAATGTAGGCATGAATAAAAATCCTCCGCTGACTTGATAATTTGGCAACCAATTCGTAACCGCTTTGCCAGTGAGGCATCCAGTGAATCATGTAGTGCAAGCAGTGCAATAGAACAGGGATCGAAAGACGGCGAAGATGCAGAATTTACGGTACACTCCAGTGATTCACTGGGGCCGCTTAACGGATCAAAATCATAAAGGCGCGCAATTGTACAGGCTATTTCTGCGCTACTAGCCCTCATATAATTACACTGATACTGTACTTATTGCACATCACTGTCTAAGGCCTTGTCCCGAATTCAAAGCGTATCTCGTTGCGATACAGTAACTCCACCTCGGGAGGTGACTTCGCGTACCGTATCTGTAGGCGCGGCCACTGCATACATCCACCTCGTGCGGTTAAGCAACCGTACCATAGCGAGATTCGCTGCGAATTCGGGACGAGGCCTTAGACAGTGATGTGCAATAAGTGCAGTATGGTGCATCTAGAGCAACGGTAGTACCGCCTCCAAGCGCAGGAAAAGCGAACTACCCCGGCTGGCAGTTTCCAAATCGTCCAGCAAATTGTTTCAGTAAATTGTATTACAATTTACAATAATATTTCTTTAGTTACTTGCTAGATTACTTTTGTTGATGTAGTAGTAGCTTTTAACTTTGGATTTATTAAAAAATTGCTCATAAACTCCTTTCAAATTTCGCTTCATTGGGTTATTCGAGTGAACATTGGATAGACACAAAATTACGCGTCACATCATTTCAGCACATAATGCACATAATACCTTTCAAATAATATAATATAGATATTATTATATGCAATGACTGCAGCGCGTTGTATCAGTTTAAAGCAGTTATGAATTAATATTATATTTTATTTTAATGTAATAATAATTCATAATAGAGCTCCGAATGGAGCTCCGTAATAATAAGTAATAATATTGTTATTACTTATTATTATTGGGCTCTATTCGGACCGGATATACGACATCATACGTACGTAATACAATATGTACATTGCATACATGTACATACTGCCGGTCAATTATCATGGCTTCTGAATCAATAGGAATTTTGTAGTTGACATCGCTAGATGTTGTTGGCTCGACTTTAATTTCTCAATATGTGCAAGGCGAGCTTCGCTCAACAAACATGATCAAATGAAGAATTTGTCCCAATTAACATGGGAAGGGACCGTGCACAATACACTCATTGCATTACCACGCATAATCTCCAAACTTAAACGCTGAAACAGAAAACAAGTAGAGCGACTCACCCGTCCTTAAAAACAACTTCTTACCGATCTCCTTTAACGTTACAATGCCGGTCTCACACCGCGCCAAAAGTCTCACATGCAAAGGCGACAAAATTACAGCGATCAGTAAGCGACTTGTATTTTCCAATCTTCTCCCGGCATGCCAGTTCATGGCAGCGCCAGCACACTTCGAGATCGCGTCGATGTATGAATCCGCCATCGTGTCTCTGCAAGTAACGTCCCATACTAATGGCTGCCCGCGGTACCACTTCCAACGCGTAGCTCCATCCGGACGTTTTCCGTTTTCGCGCAAAAAGCCAATGGGCTCCGGGTATGACTCAATGCCGGCATTACATAGTGCTCGCAATATGATATCGTTAATGCCGTTATGACGTTCCCTTCTCCCGATGCACTTCTTGCACGCTAGCCCATGGTATCCGTTTTCCGCGACCTCTTTACCACATCTCGCACACGAATGCTGCTCCACGATCTTAGCACCAAGCCACAGGCCAACAGAAATGCGGAAAGTCTGATCATCCAGGAAGTTGCCGAAAACTTTCGCGGGAAGAGCATTGAGCCAGGCTCCGGCGTATTTTGTGCTAACTGCTCTCATACGTGCTTCAGCTCGCTTATTGCCGCCAACATTATTCCACAAAACATCAACATCCTTCTGTATGACGGCATTATCCCATACACACTGATGGCTACCTGAATTGGCTACCTTGTTGGCTACCTGAATCAAAATACCCAGATAAAGAAAACTTCATTTGTGGGCCAGAACTGATTTTCTGGGTCTGAATATTTCAGCACCACCCTGGGCAAGTTCTTCCCACGAAACTGAACCAGATCTGGCCCACAATACGTTGGCCCGGAAATGCCATTATCCTGGAACAGAAAATGTTCCGGATAGGCCAGAATGATTTCGTTTCTAGAAATTGCACTGGGAATTTGATTCTGAATGGGTTGTTGCCAATTAAAATGTTGCAGTTGTACTTGTACATTACTTGATCGTGAGTTGCATGTAATACGGGGATTCGCTGGACCATATGGCGCATATTTCCGGTCAAGACTTAAAAGTTATCGAGATATTACTTTAGCAGTCTTAGGAACACTCAGCATTTTAATAGTCAGACTCAGCCCTTTAGTACTCAGACTCAGCCTTTCAGTAGTCAGACTCAGCTTTTTAGGGCTCAGACTCAGACTCAGACTCAGCGCTTCAGCGCGGGCCCGCGGGCGGAGCTCGGGAAGCCACAAATCGCCTAACTTTTTGTAACATACTCTGACGTTATTTGCGCCGAAACGCAAAAACAGAACATGATGAGACTTTGAAATGGTTTACCGTGTTCAAAGCAAGACAGTACGAGGAATTCAGAATGAAAAAACCCCGAATCATTCAGCGTGTACTGCACTCTGACTGTCATGCGTCTTTGCAACGCTAAGAACCGATAGCAAACGCAGTTTCTTTTCCCTTTTCTCGAAACCGGACCCAGTAAAGGCCAATCATCTGCAAGCGCGTTTGGGAAGAGCGGCCACGGCATGTGTTTTTGTGAAAGGGTGTACTCGTGGTTACTACAACATATTTACTATTATTTTCTAAAACAACATTTTGAAAAATCTGAAGGTCGCATATCATAACATTTTGTATTTATTCAGCGTTCAGTAAATTCGCGCATTCCTCTATGAAAAATAAATCGTGATGGCCGGTGTTTAGCTGTCATGCCATATTTTTCAGTGCAAAATGTTAGGTGAAATTACGTTATTTCCCTTCACGGTATAGTACACCGTCCACTGGTGTCCCGCCACTGAAGGCGGTCCAGTCACGCGGATCGCGGTGATGGTGGGCGTTGAGAGCCAGCAAGATCCTCAACTGAATCAACACCCTTCGCGAACTGTGACGGTGGACGTGACCACTGCGTCCATAAGTCCATAACGAACGTTGAACTGCTTTGAATGCAAGGCAAGCTGTCCATTTTCTTCGGCAATTGTTTGCTTTTACCACTTCCCTTGAGGTTCCAGTATGCAGCTGCTGGGTTTCACACCTATCTTTATAACGAGCTTAAAAAGATAGACCATCGATCATCAATTCAGCGAAGTAGCTATTTTGCCGCAGTATTTGCGGCAAAATACCAAAAAGCTATTTACCAGCATGCGGCCAAATAGTGAAAGGCCATTTGGCCTACCATAGTGCGGCTATTTTATAAAATAGCAAAAAGCTATTTTGACGCACA